AGAATGGACACTGGAGACCCCCAAAGACAGATATTCTATCAAGAGCCAGTAGGAACCAGGAAAAGAGGCTGACCAAGATCTAGATTCAAACCTCAAGTCGAAGATAACTTGAGGAATCTAGGTGTCAGAAATTAGAAAGCCAGGGCGAAAGATAGGGGGGAATGGAGACTAATTTTTGAACAGGCCAAGACCCTCCCAGGGTTGTAGAGCCAAAGATGATAATGAAACGCTTTTGTTGATTATTGTATTGCTTCGTTACATTCATGGTTCCACAAAGGAACTGGATGGAATTTACTTCTTCTTCTTCTTCTTCTTCCTCTTTATAAGCAATTGCTTGTTCATTGGCGGATTAATACCTCTATGGAAGGTTGACACTCCATCTTTTGCGCGGTCGTCCGATACTTCTTCTGCCGATTGGTGACTTACCTCTTGCTATTTTAACGATACGGGTCTCCTTCATTCTGCTTATGTGGTTATTCCATTCTTTTTTTCTATTGTGCGTCCATTCATTTATACACTACGTTACATTTTCGTCTAATATCTTCATTTCTCTTTCGATCTCTCAGCGTGTTTTCTGTAATTCTTCTTAGTACTCTCATCTCTGCCGTTTCCAGTAGTCTTTGCATTGTGGCTGTGTCAGATCTTGTTTCTGACGCTTATGTCATTATTGGTCTTACATTAGCTTTATAAATTCTTGACTTCATCTCAGTATTGATGTGTCTGTTTCGCCATATAGTGCTATTAAGGCATCCTGCCAGTCTATTTGCTTTTTGTACTTGATCTCTCACTTCTTTGTCCAGGTCTCCTAGACAGTGTAATTTCCAGGTATTTTATTTCCATTACTTGTTCAATACTGATGCCATCAATTTCTATTTTACATCTGGTTGGTTCTTTGCTAACTACTATTGTTTTAGTTTTCTGAGATGATATTGTCATATTAAATTGTGGGCCAGTCTTTACAGACTATTTTTATCTTTCGCTATTACTATTGCGTCGTCTGTGTAACACAATATTTCTTTGTTTCCCATTCTATATCCTCTTCCGTTATTAGCGTTCTTGATGATTTTATCCATGATCAAATTGAAGAGCATGGAGGTCAATCAATCCTCTTGTCTTACTCCACTGTCTAGTGCTGTAAGTTCTGAAAGTTGTCTTTCTGTTCTGACTCCATTTTGTTGTTTTGGTTGATGTTTTCGATAGCTTTTATAATATTTAGGAGAATTTCTCTGTTATACAGAAGATGGATTACAGCTTCGAGTCTTACTCTGTCAAACACTTTCTTTAGGTCAATCGGACAATGCTGGTCTATTATACTCTAGTGATTTCTCATTAGTTTGCTTTATAACGAATGTTGCAGCTGTACACAATCTTCCACTACGAAAACCCTGTTGTTCATCAGCTAAACTTATTCTCTGATTTATTGGCCCTTGTAAAATTTTAGTTGTAAGTTTTAGCGTAGTATTTAACAAGTTTGTACCTCTGTAATGTTGTTAATTGTTCTATCATTGCTGCTCCACAATATTTTAGTAATTCCTTTGGTATCCCAAAGGATACAGATCCTTACATGCTGCTTTTCTGTTCTTCAGGTTTCTAAGTATTTTCTGAACTTCCTGTACATTTATATTCAGTTCTTCATTTGTGGTAATTTCTGGTATTTCCGGTTCTAGCGTTGTTAGTTCTCCCTCTGGCAGTGGAATTTACTGGCAGAATTAATTTTCCCAATATTTTTATCTGTTCAATCTATTATTAGTTTTGTATTAAATCTACTTCTTCCTTCACATTACTGTTACTATAATTTATGACATGCAAGTTATGTTGGATACGGTTTTGAAATTTCGTCCAATCCGCATTTCTTTCGCAACTTCTTATGTCAAAATGGCTGTCTTGTCCATCATTAAGTAGATTTAGCTTGAATTTTCCAGTAGGGATTTTATTTTCTCTATCCCATTAAGGATTATGTGCGTTGAAGTCTCCAAAAATTAGTCGTGGAGTAGGTATTTGGTCTAAGAGATCCGATATTTCGTTATGGTGAAGTTCTTCATCAATCAGCCAATCGCGTCCACTGCTGGACATAGGCCTCCCTCAATTCTTTCCAGTGTTCTCTACACTGGGCCGCTTGTAGCCAGTTTCCCGCTACACGTTTAATGTCATCGGTCCATCTAGTCGGTGGTCGTCCTCGGCTTCTTTTATAATTTCTGGGCCTCCATTCCATAATACGTCTTGTCCACCGTCCATCTTGTGTTCTGGCTAAGTGCCCTGCCCAGTTCCACTTAAGCGTCGTGGTTCTTTCGATGACGTCTTGAACTCCTGATCTTCGTCTGATTTGTTGGTTTGTTATGTGGTCTCGAAGGCTCACGTTCAGCATTGCACGTTCCATGGCTCGTTGTGTAACTCTAAGTTTATTTGCAGATTTTTGCGTGAGTGTTAAAGTCTCTGCTCCATAAGTTTGTACAGGTAAAACACATTGGTTATAAACCTTTCGCTTGAGACACATGGGAATTGAACTTTTTAGAATATGGCTTAATTTGCCAAATGCTGCCCATGTTAGACCTATTCGCCTCTGTATTTCATGTGTTTGATTGTCTCTGCTTATTTTGATTTCGTGTCCCAGATATTTGTAAGTGTCTGTTTGTTGTATGGTATTATTGTCAATAGTTAAATTTCAACTCATTACGAGATTTGTTATAATTTTAGTTTTCTCAAAGTTTATCTTTAATCCTGCTCTTTCAGACAGACTTTTAAGCGAATGCATCATAGTAACTGTATCATGTAAGTTATCTGCGATTAATACAACATCATCTGCAAACCTTAGGTGATTTAATCTTTCTCGATCTATATTGATGCCCATATCTTGCCATTGAGTACCCTTAAATATTGACTCTAGAGCTGCCGTGAACAATTTTGGTAAAATATTGTCTCCTTGTCTAACTCCTCGTCCTAAGCTGAATTTTTCTGTGTCTTCGTGCAATCGTATACTTGATGTAGCGTTCTGATAGATGTTTTTGATTAGTGTCGTGTACCTGTAATCTATTCGGCTTTGATTTAGGGCTTCCAGTATTGTTTCAAACTCTACAGAATCAAAAGCCTTCTCGTAATCGACAAATGCAAGAACCAGTGGTATGTTGTACTCGATGCACTTTTCTATTAAGATCTTTATGGTATGCAAATGGTCATTTGTGCCATATCCTGCCCTGAAGCCTGCCTGTTCTTTGGGCTGATAGAAATCAAGTTTAGGTGTTAGCCTCTTTGTTAAGATTTTCATAAAGAGTTTGTACATATGTGTCAAGAGGCTGATGGGTCTATAATTTTCTAATTTAGTAATATCGCCTTTTTTGTGTAACAAGACTATTACTGCATTGTTCCAGTCTTTTGGAATTGTACCCGCATGTAAGCATTTAGTAAACAGTTCGCTTACTGATTTTAATAAAATTTCTCCACCTGCTTTTATTGCCTCGATAACGAGTCCATCATCACCAGGCGATCGATGGTTCTTCATTTCCTTTAAAGCTGCTCTTACTTCTGACACAGTAATGGGTAAAAGTATTTCCGATCCCTGATTTATGAGAGTCTTTACTCGTGTCGGGAAATTGTCTTGTGGTCTTTGGCTGGTATAGAGGTCTTTATAAAATTCTCTAGTTATTTTCAGAATGTTTTCTTTATCTGTTGTTGCCTTTCCGTCTTTATCTCTCAGCTTGTATATTTCTTTTTTACTTGGTGAAGTTCTTGGTTGGGGGAATAATGTATTTTTTGCAATACGCAAAAGGTAGTTACGTAGTTAACTTTTGCAAAAACAGAAAAAGAAAGGAAGACGGGTTTCATAATATTTCCGGAAATCCTGGAAATCTTCTACACGATTAAACCATTTTATACTGATTGGCCCAGTTAAAAGCTTTCTCGAAGTCGATAAAATACATGAAAACTAGTTCTTCTACATTTGTAAATCTCGGAACCATTACTCGCAAAACTTTTTATTGCTTCCCTTTTTCCAAGGTTGTTAAATAATTTATTTTTGTTTGTTGTAAATTTTTGAGTGACAGTATGCTGGTCACTGCATGCGTTTTCGCTTATATTTGTATTGACGATTACACTTGCGTAGTCAACATATTTTCCCTGATACTGTTAATTGATTATAGTACCATGTGGTTTGAGTTCAGTAGTTAAAGAAAAGTGGAACCCTAAACATCAAAGCAATTCCGAATACATGTATATACGATTTGATTAAGACTGCTAAAAAAGAAGAAGGAAATTGTGGCAACGTAAGAGTACACACATTTTCAGAACACGTCGACGTATCTTCGAAAATTTATAGGATCATTTCCAACTTAACTACCGTTATAAACCGTCTCTCAAACTTGATGTAAATGTTGACTCGTAACTCTTCGGTCGAAGTTATTTTGTTATATGAAAATAGATTTTAATAGAGAAATGGAATCCACATAAAATAAATCAAAGATTGGAATATTTAAAGTAGTTTTATTGTTATGATGTGATGCTGTCAACGTGTGTGGGTTTGCTTTTTAAACGATCGTTGTGTAGATAATGTGACGTCAGCCGCTGGGTTTTTTGTTAAATTTATGAGCATATTTGTGGAGTATATAGTATTTTTATTTACTAGAAAATAGATGGGCAGCTTTTTTATTGGATTTCCACCAATAGATATCTTAGTTAATTTAGTTGATTTAAAATATATTCACAAGTATTCGAAGTCTATTTAGAAACCTATTAAATTGTCTTTTACATTGTAGTTAATACTTTTTATTCTTTTATGAACGTTTACTATTTTTCTTTTGGTTAGTTATTATAAATGAAGGTTATGTGAAGGAAATATTATTGTATATGTACATTTTTCTCCTAACAAACATCTAAATAACATATATAATACTAAACCTTTCCTCTCCTTTAAAAATTACATTCGTCTTACCCTAACATCGCCCAAAACACAAACTAACACATCTACCTTCTTTTTCCTCTGTTGTAACTCTTGTTTACATTTTTTCTAGGGGTTGAACAACAACCGCCGCAAACCCCTAACCTATCTCTCACCCCTCCAAACCTCCCTCCACCCTTTCAAAATGTTGACGCTTTCGGTAGTTTGCTAGGAGAAGAAATAGTTTCTTCCTGGAGAAGAAACATAGAACACAATCGTGTAACACCAAAATCACCCTCTGCTTCTTTAGATGTTCCGTTGAAGAGTTCCACCCCCGTGAACGCAGACTCGACGGCCGAGAAGAGTACAGCTTCTACGCCGCAACCCTCGGAACACGGCTGCCAGCAGTCACCCAACGAGAACCTAGTGAACGGCAATCCAAAGAGTCCGCAAGAAGACAACAACAACCACCACGTCAGCAATAACAACATCAGCTTATCCGCAATGTGTGCCGTCAATAACTTTCTCAGAAACGATGACAGCTTGAAGAGTCCGTACAGGTTTGATGACCATCGAGGGCCCTTCAAATTTGCCGACGACTTGGGAATGGCTCCTGGATCTATGGTAGGACGACTTGGCGAAAGTCTTATCCCTAAAGGAGACCCCATGGAAGCCAGGCTCCAGGAGATGCTGAGATACAACATTGACAAATACGCAACACAAAATTTAGGTAAGTCAATTGCATAAAATATTATTGTTACTTTCTTTCTGTCGCAAATATCTCCTTCAGCTGTCATCAAAGGATTATAAATAGGTTTTTATACAAAATTTTATAGTTAGTAGCTTTTAAAGTTTTGCATATTTCTGCATGATGTTAATTCTTCATATTGAAGCATTTCATAATATTCTTTTTCATTTCTTTTCAGATACTCTTCACATATCTCGGAGAGTACGCGAACTGTTATCGATACACAACATTGGCCAAAGATTATTCGCGAAATATATTTTGGGACTTTCTCAAGGTACGGTCTCAGAATTACTCTCGAAACCTAAACCTTGGGATAAGCTAACGGAGAAGGGCAGAGACAGCTACCGAAAAATGCACGCTTGGGCTTGTGACGAAAACGCGATACTTCTGTTGAAGTCGTTAATACCAAAGAAAGGTGAGTTTCTGACGTTTTTATTGGTTATTTATTAGAGACCTTAATTGAGCATTATTCCCTTTTGCGTACCATTTTATAAGTTGATCTTACCGCGATGCGATGTTTAGCCTCCACGCCACTCTGAATTGTGAGCTTTTTAAGATGAGTCCAAAATAGACTATTGTTTACTCTGTTATATTTAGTTGTTCTAGTTTTGACTCAATTGTCCTGAGAACTGTTTAAGGAATTTCAGCCTACGTCTCCACTATAACATCTCGAACGTATTTATGCCCTTTTTGTCGATTTACTTAAAGTTGGTCCACCATTTCGATGCTAATAGGAAATCTGGAAAGACTAGGCATTTGACCAGTCTAATTTTCTAGTTTCACCAGATTTTATTTAGCTTAACGATTACATTGTTTGCTATTGATATTTCTCGTTTTTCCATTTTCCATTTTCCATATATTCCTGAATGTAGGTATTTCCCAATTGCTTCCATCTTTCGCCATCTTGCGTCAATCTAATCAACTGTTTGCCTGCCACTGCCCTTATGTCATCTACCCATCTTTTTGAAGTCTTCCCATGCTTCTTGTTATCGTCCTTGGTCTATATTCTAGAATTCTCCGTGTCCACCTGTTGTCATTATATCGGGCTACGTGACCTGCCCTCGTCTGCCCTTGTCTGGTCTCGGCTCAGTATTTTTGTTTTGCTGTAGTTCATTTTTAAGCCTACCGCTTCTGAAACTGCATTTAAATGTTGTAACATATCATTTAGTTCTTGGATATTATCGGCTAAACTATGTCATCTGCGAATCTCAAGTGGTTTAAGTACGATCTGTCGACGTTAATACCGTTGTTGTTCCATTCTAGTTTCTTAAAAATGTCTTCTAGAGCAAGGGTAAATAGTCTGGGAGAGATGGTGTATCCTTTTCTTACTCCCCGTTTTAGTCTTATGGGATTAGTTTTTGTGCTTTCGTATTATATACTCGGTGTATATAATACGGTGTATATATTTCGAGTATATATATTATATACTCGGTGCATTTTTTTATTAGTGTTCTTGCGGTATGCAAGTGGTCTATGGTACTAAAATGTTTTCTGAATCCAGCTTGGTCGATAGGTTGATAGAAATCTTGCTTATGTGTTAGGCGGTTGGTTATGAGTTATCTTGTACTATATTTCTTATTAGATTGTTAGTATAGTTTCCATGATCATTCCTAATTTCTTTCTCCACGTTTTAGTTTAAACTTTTGAAGCTGCCCGAATTTCGATCTGTTCTGTTTCGTCTTTCTTGGAGTAGTTTAATGCCTTACACTAAATGCCTTACAACATTCATGTAATTTATTTGTGTTAGTTTTGGTTGTTGTTGTTTTCATCCATTATCATGATTATTGTCTTTTCTCTATTTATTTTGAGACCGGCCTCTTCACTGATGTCTTCCATTTTCTCCATTAATTGATAAAATTCCATTATCCAGTTAAAGAGAATGTTTGTATCATCTGCAGATCGTAAATTAAAATTTTTTCTCACGCCTATGGTGACACCGCCATTCTATCCATCAGTGGACTTCCTTATAATATAATCCATTCCACATAGTACTGCGTCCAGACATAAAATCGGCTTCTTTTTCGTCATTTGAAATTTTTTTATATAGATTTTAATTGCTGTCGAATTAGCCTATTATTTTGTCGTCCTTTTGTATCGGTGAGCATATTTTAGAGTCGTCTAAAATAGTTTTTGCTATGAAGCTTATGAAATGGTGAACCTTGATGTAAAAAGAAAGTATTTAAACGATGTTAAAGACACACCTTGTAGCGTTAAAGTATATAGGTTCAAAGAATCGTTTCTCGACTATTATTAAACAAGAATTAGTGGAAGGATTAGAAAACCGTTCTCGTACAATCGTGAGACAATATTTTCTTGTGAGATGACATTTTAATATTTGTATTTATCTTGAATGGTAGATGTCGACCGTTTTCTATAATAATCCGCATTTATGCTTCCACTTCCACGATCGCTGATTCACAATGTAATTACTTTTTCATGGGAGCGCGCATCCAACATATTGTCAACATGGAATGGATCAAACTATGTGATTATTTGATATCTCGAAATAAAAGCAGACTATTAGCTACTTCTCTCTTTTCAGGTATCAATTTTACTACAGTTAACGTTAAAAACGGATTGTATTCGATAATATCTGCCATCTTTGTTGCGAGAGACCGATGATTTTGTAATTTTTTGCCGGCTAACAGTTATTTTAATAATTAAAGACCATATGCTTTAAAAATATTCTGTAGATATCAATTTTAAATTATTGAAAATGAAGAGTATAGCGGCAGATAATCAAACATAAAATACGAGGGTAAGGCGAAAAGTTCTGGCCTATGGTATTTCCAAGATATTGAAATTTTTAACTACAATATTTGGGCTTTGAGCTCGGAAAACGTTTTTATTTTGGATTTTGATCGTCTCTCTGAATGTGTGTGGATATAATGTGTTTACTTTAGTTTGTTTTTTGTTTCCCCTCTTTATATAGTAATCTTCTTTCTATATTTTTATTACTTTTGTAACAAAAATGTATGTTTTGTTACTTTCTTTCGTATTTTCTTTTTTAGTATATTCTAGGCTTTTTCTGTTAGTTTTTTCCATTAAATCGTTGTATATACACGTCTGTATTGTTAATATTCTTTAGAGATTCTTCTAGTCGTTGTTTATATTTATCCTTACTTTCTCTAGTTTTCTATTATCGATTTTGTTGCTGCATTTTTAAGAGATTGATCTGTTTATTGAAGTTTTGGTTTTTACTCTCGTCTTACACTTGTCATTTCCGGTGTAAAATGAATTAAACATTGTGTGCATAATTTATAACTCCTTTTTCTAAGGATGCTCTAAAATCTATTTCGATTTTTGTTTTTCCGTTTGCGCTAAGCCATGTCTATTTCATCTGTGGTTTTTCATGGAAGAAAATATTCATTTCAGGAGTATATTATCGTATTTAAAAATAAACTAATGTAATGTTTATGGGAATATACCAAACAAAATGATTGTCTTCCTGGTAAATCGATATTTATTAAATTAATTATATATTTTACCAACAGATAAACAAATAGCTTATGTTATTAAACAGGAAACGAATTTGGTGAACCGCAGTATGAAAAATTATCGTGGTTCATTTCCGAAAATAACTAAATATCGACGTTATTATACAAAAATTGGGTTTTAAATATCGTTTGGATTTTACTTCCGCCAAAATTTTTGATAAATATGTCTTTATTTAAATTGACGATTACGTCAAGATAATTGCACAGTACTTGTCGGTTAACTAAAAGAATAGTTTAACTTATCGTATGTATTTAAATATCCAACACATTATTCTAGATAGTCAGGTAGTGCTTCATATTATTTTGTATAAAGACAAAAATTTTTACGGAAAATTAAAATAGGATTTTAGATGGAAGTTTTGAAGTGACATAAAAGTCGGTATTTTAATTATAAAAGCCCATAAATAAACTAAGAATAAAAGAATAATTTTACAAATAAACCTGCAAGATACGTTTTTTTTCAAGTGAGAGTTTTTTCAACTTTGAAAGTTTGTATAGTGCGTCTATGTATCCTCTCCAACATTGACCAAAACTCCAACTAACCACTAATATAAGAAAAGCCAACTGATGAAATAATATGAAATTATATTAATTAGTATATATGTAGACTGAATAGTACAGATTCCACACTCAAACGTGTCAGAGATAACTAATGTATTAGTTTGGGGCAAATGTGGACACAGAGTGTGAATATAAGAACTAGATTAAACAATCTGTCAGAGATTGGTTGGTTGACTACACTAAAAAGGTCTACCAAGCACTATCAATACTATGGAAAAGACCAAATTGAAATATGAAATTTAAATTTAAGTACTTTGAAATAAAAATCAAAGTGTGTAAACTGAAGTATTATACCACTGGTTCAGTCATACCTACAATCAAAATACATGATTTAACATTTGGAGATATTTAACTGCGGAAATGGTATATCTAAATTACGAAAAGATATGGAGAGTGTAATTAACGCCAACTGTAGATCAATTGATCACGACCAAGCTTATTTAGCAAGTTGTTGACGATTGAAATGTTAGTATAAATTAATGTATGGAATTAATAAAACTCTTAATGGATATACTCAGAAATACTTGAAAATAGTTACCAACAGACGCTAGTTTGCTCTGATGATGCCAAGAGGCAGAAATATGCGTATTAGCGAATGGTGTTACTCTGTAACGAAATCAAACCTTAATCTGTCTATTTTACTTTGAGGTACATTCATACTTTACGCCACAGATAATTCTACACAAAAAAGCGAGTTCGAAGTTAAAATTTAATTGATTTAAAGTATTAGTTGTTTATAAACCTCCTTATTCGCCTGATTTAGCTCCCTTTGACTAAAATTTGTTGGTGGAAGATTTTAATCTATTTTTTATAATTTAAATATTGGTTAATCACATTTTATATGCAACATAAGACACACATTATTAGGAAAATGCGGATCAAGTGTATTAAACAAAAACTTCTTCCCTGTTACTTTATCTCATCATTGAAATAGTGATTTATCTCCATACTATCAATGTAAATTCTTCAGTTACTACTTCAATCTGCCTAATATTCTTTCAAATGAAGACAATATTGAGAAATTAGTACATTTCTTATATACTATACTGTTTTCTTCCAGTTTTCTAGCGTCTTGACGCCATTCAGTAATGAGCAATGAATGAGCGTTCACTAACACTAAAACCTTATCTCCAGCAGTAATACGTATCCATCGAAGGATTCAATTTTACTCGTGACTTTCAATTAAAAAACTCAGACCTTTTGAGCATGTAAAATATTTCTTTGTCCAATTTCTGATTCGAACAAGTCATTTATGGTACCTAAAATGGAAAAAATTACATCAGAACAGCAGACGACTTTGTTTAAGAAACATTTAATTCGTTTCGTTTTTTGTCTACAATGACTTTCAAAATTTACT